CTCTGTCCTCCTTGGTAGAGTGCCGTGGCATTATCATAGCTCACAGCAACTTCAAACTCTTGGGCTCAAGCGATCTTCTTGCCTCAGCCTCCTGAGTAGCCGGGACTACAGGTGCTTGCCACCTCATCTGGCTAGTTTTTCTAGGCTGCTGTCTAGCATTTTTAACTGCCCAGTGGTATTAAATACATTCACATTGTTGTGCAGCCATCTCCCCCCCATCCATCTCTGTTTTCATCTTGCCAAGCTGAAGCTCTGCATCCATTAAACAGTAACTCCTCCTTCTTTCCTCCTCTAAACCCCAGCAACCACAACACCTTCTGTCTTCATGAATGTGACTACTAGATGTGTAAGTGGAATCATACAGTATTTGCCTTTTTGTGACTGACTGACTGCGTGTTGCATTATGTATTCAAGGTTCATCCACACTGTAGCCTGTGCCAGAATTTCCTTCCATTTTAAGACTGAATGAGATCCTACCGTATGTATACACCACATTTTGTTTATCCGTTCATTTGCTGATGTCCACTTGAGTTGCTTTCATCTTTTGGCTATTGGGAATAATGCTGCTATGAACATGGGTGTGAAGATACCTCAGCAAGACCCTGCTTTCACTTCTTTTGAGTATATACTGAGAACTGGAATTGCTGGGTCATGTGGTAATTCTATTTTTAGGTTTTTGAGGAACTGCTATAATGTTTTCTATAGCAGCTTTTCCATTTTACGTTCCTACTGGGGTTCCAATTTTTCCACATCCTTACCAACACTTATTTTCTGTTTTGTTTAACAGTAGCCATCCTACTGAGTGTACACTGGCACTGAAATTTTAAAATGAATTTCTCTTATTTTGAGGATGAGAATCTTTTAGATATATAAGAGGTGATATTCCCTGTTCCATGAAATATTTGTACCTTTTTTTAGCTACCAAATTCTTTTTTTTTTTTAATTCTTTATGCCCACTTTTAATTTGGGTCTTTTCCTTCTTATTTTTCTTATTGATTTGTAGTTACCCTTTTATATATGAAAAATCAGTATTTTGTGACTAGTTGCAAATACAGTAGAACATCCATGGTGGACCACCTTCCTACATTGACCATCTGTTTAAGTTGGTCAATTTTCATAGACTGAACATGCACCACATGTATGTAACAGTACAGTAGGCCTAGTTCCTTATGCTGACCACCGTCTGTATGTTGACCGGTTTGTTATAGTTCCTGTGGTGGTCAACCTGCAGAGGTTCTACTGTATATTCAGCTGCTGAAATATACAGTAGGTGTTCAATGTTTGAACTAAATGGCTGGTTCCTGATTTCTCTCTCCCTCCCTTCCAGTGATTTTAACGGATTTCAGAGTTTGGGCCTCATCTGTTGAGCCAAAGCTGACACCACTCAAGGGAAAAGCTGGGAACAGAGGTCTGTCTTTGATCCCCCTGCACTTTCTCATGTTGAATCGCCAGCAGCAGCCTATTTATCACAGACGCTGAGGACTGGGGGGCCCTTTGGGTCTGAACTCCCACTTAATATAGAAACCACTCTTTGTGTGCAAACCAAAATAAGTTTCCTTGACCTAACCAAAGATATTTGGAGGGGGGAGAATGACATGATAAACAGAGACCTAACATCAAATTATATTTTGCTATAAATTTCATAAATTGCCTTTAATTCAAATAATTACATGAAATCAGTGTGGCCCTAAGGAATCGTGGACAAACAGTCCGTGTCACTCACACAGTGGGAAGAGACCCTGATGAGGAAGTCAGAGCCATTTTTGACTTCTCTATTTGAAACTCTCTCTTCCCCTCATAGCAGCTGCCTCCCTTTAACTTCCCCTCATTGTTACCATTTTGTCCTCTGAAGCTACCCACAATCAGCCTAAAACTCTTCTGCCAAAGACTTTCAAGGATGTGGGGACGACAGTCACGTTCCTCTTCAGAATCCTGGCCTGGCCTAGCAGTGACAATCCTTCCTGTAAACGTCACTAACATTAATTTGGAGACCACACACCATCCTAGGAAATGCTTTGGACATTTAGTTTTTCAGTAACTCTATTAGAACATAAAGCTAAAATACTCGAGGTTGACGTGATTATTTCTCTCAAGTATAAATGCCCCGTTGTTTCAACTCCAGCCATCCCGGGGAGGTGGGTGGGGTGGGCTGGGGTACGAAGTCAGTTTCTCTGCTGTTGTTGGCTGTGAAGAGCAGAAATGTCACTGCTCCCTCAGGAATGAGCCCACACAATTACAGGTCATATCTTTCTCCAGAGGGCCTGCCAAGTGCAAACTCTTGCTTTTGGAGGGAGAGAACAAAAAGGGGAATGGGTGAGGAAAGAACCTAAGAATTCACAGGGGGATTCTCTGAGAGGAGATTTCTGAGGGGGAGTGAACTGGTCAGAAACCTAAAAAGAGGAGCTTCCACATAACTGGAGGTTCACTGCAGTAGCCAAAGCAGAGCACCTGCCATACCTCACTTTCACTCGCTTTGCATGCTGGCCCCCCCAAACAGAAGGAAGAGCTGGGCCAATGATTAATATGCTGCCACTCCTCACAGCAAGGTGAGGAGTATCACAGACGAAGAAATGGAGTCTC